TATATATATATGATAAAAAAAAAATTAAATTTAGGTAGTGCAAGATTCAGATCGTTTTTTTGTCCATTATTATTTTTTTTTTTTTTCTTTGAAAAAAATATCCCCGCAACACGATTTTCCCCCACATTTTTCATTTCTCCACAATTATCTCTTTTTAAAATTTTCACTCAGGAATATTATTATGCATCATTATATAATGCTTTTTTTGTGTAATATGATGTTTTTTTATATTGTTCGTATTTTAAAATATAAAAAAAACGTGTTATTAAAAAATACCATTATTGGAAAAACCTATAGAAAAAACCTATAATATATATTTATATATATAACTAGGTAAAAAAAATTAAACGTAAAAAATAAATAAATAAAATTTATTTTTATTTTTTACATTTTTTTTTCATCGATTTAATTTTTTTAACGTGTTAATTAATATTTAATGAATTGATTTGAACGATTAAAGATTTAATAACATTTTCTTTCGTGATATTATGTAATATAACCTGTTTTCTTACTTGAAATGTTTCACGATGACGTGTAATGAATTTTAAGTGGACTTACTACGAATAAATATTATTGGTTATATTTTTGGTTACTCGTTTTTATACCGTTATTACCGTATTTATATCCAATATTTTTTTTATAAATGAAATGATAAAATGATAAAATGATTTAAAAAATTATTTTAAATATCAAAATATTTTTTTACCTTTTGTTCTTAAATAATCAATTTTTTTTTTAAAAAAGAAAAAGGTAAACAAATAAATATGCTTATGATCGATATATATATACATACCAAAAAAAAACAAAGGAAGTGCATTAAACTCCTCAAAACAAAGTGTGCGCACGGTTACGTTTCAACTCATTCAACTGATCTTAAAATATCGGATCAATGTCTGTGCAAAGATAGATAATATGGAAGATCTTTATTTACTCTTTTTCATTCATTTAAGACATAAAAATTTATGTGTTTAGAAATTTGTGGGGAAATTTATTAATAATTTATAATAATGATTTAATTTTTGATTCATAAAAATTTAAGATCTTGATTTTTTCTCCACAAAAAAAAATTTTTCTTTTTTAAAAAAAAAATAGATAATGTGGAATGATAAAATTAATTAAAATTTCCATTTTTTTTTTTAATAAAATTTGCTCTGAGTATTCGCTGAGTTCACATTATCATATATGTATATATATACATATATATGTATTCTCTTTATATCTTATCTCGTTTTACCACGTGAACTCCACAAAAAAAAAAAAACTGTATTAAAGATCAAAAATAAAGTCTTCGTTGAATCGTGAGATGAATCAGACATTATCAGCGTTCGATCTCCACGTTTTTAAAAAAACAACTCAAGTTACATTATTTAAACGCGGAGTAATTCAGTTGAACTTGCGCCACACAATTTTGAAACGCAATTGATCTACAAGTTTCTTCATGATCTTTGAAAATTTCGTTAGGGAAATTGTACATTGTTTCTTTAAGTCGTAATTTGACACGTTTTCTTCGGTTATTAACAAAACAAGTTTCGCTTTTTTTTTTACGCGAAAGAACTTGAAAAACTTTGAAAAATATAAAAAATTAAAGCTTTTCTTTCGCGTTTTTTACTTTTTTTTTTTTACACAAACACTTTTTATTATCGTTTTTTTTTTCGCTTTACTAACATTTTTTTTTTCGTTTTAAAGTCGTCTTTAAAGCACTTATAAAAGACATTCTAGGCGTTCTAGGCATTCTATGCGTTTCTTTACTGATTTTACTGCTTTAAACACTAAAAAATTCACTAAAAATCACTTAAATCACTTGGAAAACTTTTCGATTTTTTTTTTTTATATATAGATAATTTCTTGCAAGAAATCTTAATCTTTATTTTTTTTTTGGTATTTGAAAAAAAAAATTTTGTCTAAAAAAAGAAAAAGGAAAA